GAGCCTGATGTCAGCCACAGATCAAGTTTCTACCTGAGTCACTGCAAATGTTGCAACATTCCTCAGATGAGATACCTGGGCTTACACTGCAAACACATTACTACCCCCTTCTCTTTCCTTTTAGCGCACACAGGCGAAACAAAAGTACTGATTCTGCATTTCTGCTTCCCCTCAGTTTCGTTTTTCACCCCCCAACAAAATTATACATAATTATAAATTCCAAGATCCCAGATTGTTTTAAACTGACTCCAACTGGCACCGCGTGTCTTCCAGTGGCAGTGCTTCACGCTGCCAAAAACCAGGATCACATTTACTCTGCAGATCTGAGTACGGTTGTCATCTTACAGTTTCCTTTTTTAACAAACGAGGAACAAAAAAAAAATAAAAAATGCAGCCGTGAAGGGAAAATTGAGGGCAGCTTTACAGATGAATTTTTGGCCCTGGAGTTATGCGTGCGGTGGAGGAGAAGGAGACGGGGGGAGCTCGTCAAGTCTCGTTGTGGTTAGTTAGCTACGTGGTGCAGGAGAAGGAGAACCGATTATAGCTCCCGAAAAGAGGCAAACTGCAAAGCAAATGCACAAAAAAACACCGCACACCCATACGGATGGATGTAAATGCACACACAGCATACAGAACCTGTGATTACACACACACGCACTGTAATTACACACAGTGACGCACAAATGCCCACCATACAGTGATTTCACGCATATACTATTGACTCATAAATAAAACACGTCCAGGCACAGGCCATAATTGCATATATCCCTATCAAACGTGGAGACGACGCACACTTAAACACAGATCAGATGAACAGGAGCTACGCTGGGCCCTGCAGGTTTCCATATTGTAAACGGGGCCCCCGAGGGCAGTTTTGGAGCCACTTTGTGGGTGGAGTGTGTTAATTTAATAAGTATGTGTGTGTGTGTTTTTGGGGGTCACGCTGAATTGAGTGGGCTAACCTCGAGATAAGAAATGAAGATGAAAGGAAAATGGGGCGGATGCAACTTTTGTGAAGATGGGAGGCGGAGGGAGGGGTGAGGGGCGTCACAAGCCGCCATAATGGTGTTTATTTGACGTTGCATAACACCTTTATTTGTGTGGTTAATACTTTTATGTGTGTGTGT